TGCATAGAACACATTCAAAGCTCTAACTAATTCTGATTGATCCAGAGTTCTTCCGTCATGTTCAAGCGAAAAGGAGTTCTTTCCAGATTTTCCTGCCATTTTATTTACGATTTTCCACCACATACGGCAGTCATCCTTCTTTAAATGTTGTACCTTTGTTTTGTAGTACGATATTTTCCTCGCATTGATTTCATGTTGGACCTTATATTTCAACGATTTCCACAAGATTGTATTATGACCATGAAGCGCCTTTTGTCGATATTTGATAAGCTGTTTTATTGCAGGTGTTATCCATGGTTTATCGGTGTGATGACGTGTTGACGTCTGTTGTGGGAAGATTCGGTCAATATTTTCTGTTAACTGGTTTGTAAACGAGATTGCCAAGCTATCAACAGTAGGGTTGGGTTCAAGGTCACAAAACCAATTATGTGTGGTAACCCATCTTCCGAAAGCATCTATTTCTGATCTGGGATAGCGCCGTACTAAGGATTTAACAGGTTTTGCTTGGATGTTGTGGCTGGGAATGCTATCGACTGAAGGTAGCTAGTGTACAATATTATGGTCACTGGATCCTAATGGAGCAAGGACATTAGGGCGGTCATATAAATTATACAGGTTTGTAAGAATAAGATCGAGTATTGCTGATTCTCTAGTGGGTTGGTCAACAACTTGTTTAAGATTTTGACTGGTGGTCAAACTGCGAGTTTCAAGATCATTAAAATCACACATAATTACTAGACCAAGGTCAGGGTGGTTATTTCGAAGTAGGTCAATAGTGTTAATTAAATGTTCATTAAGATCACTGTGTTCCGATATTGTCAGACCAGGTGGGTGATACACGACACAGATAACGATACCGGATAGAGGTCTAGGGAGGCGTTTCGGTCGAATGCTCAGCCATAAGCATTCTAAATTCTCACTTTCTAGGTCTACCCGTCGTATACAAGGGATGTCTTTTTTAATATAGGCACAAACTCCACCACCTCGTCCAATTGCGCGATCTTTACGGAATAAATTGTAATCGTTAATTGACAATAAGCTGCTGTCTATGTGTTCGTGTAACCATGATTCAGTTATTGCGATAATGTCAATGGGCGATAATGTCAATGGGTCAAAGGGCACTCAACAACAGATGCCCTTCTCTACATGATGCAAACAATTCATGAGGGGGCAAAGCTGGTGCTCGTATCTTCTTCGCAGACTTCTCAAAAGGTTTTGACCTAATTGACCACTCTATTTTAATACAAGAACTGTATAAGCTCCAGGTTCACCCTGCCTTGCTGTCCTGGATCTCAGCCTTTTTATTCAATCGTAGGCAGGCGGTTAGAATTGGTAGTGTCCTTTCTCAATGGCAAACTCTGAAGGGAGGATACCCAAAGGGACTAAACTCGGAGTGGTACTTTTTATGGTCGTGACAAATAGCTTACTGGCTAATTGGCATCTCCGTACAAAATTCGTGGATGATACTTCAGCCCTCGAGATTATTCCTAGGAACTCTATCAGCCTCCTTAATTTTGCAGTCTCTGATATACATGAATTTGCTAATGAACATAACATGAAGCTCAATCCTAAGAAGTGTAAAGAAATGCTTATAAACTTCCTACATAACCCCAATTTCTTACTCCGACCAATCCAAATTGGTAACAATGTTATTGAGCGTGTGACAACGTATAAATCTTTGGGTGTCATTTTGAGTAGCGACCTAAAATGGAATCCCCATATCGAATACATTGTTAAGAAGGCTAACAAAAAACTATACCCTTTAAGAGTCCTGCGAAGAGCTGGGGTTTACCAAAAGAATTTACTGAAAGTGTACCTGTGCACAGTAAGACCGGTACTTAAGTACGCCGTCTCTATTTGGCAAAACATTCCGGATTATCTATCGAAGGAAATTGAGTCGGTCCAAAAACGAGCACTAAAGATAATTTTCTCGGAGAGCGAGTCATATGCGGAGGCCCTGAATTTTGCACAACTACCAACTTTAACCACAAGAAGAGTGCAAATATGTCAGAAATACATGGTCAGAATAAGGCGAGAAAACCATCCCTTATTGCCAATCCCTGTTGTTCCTGACCATGACATTAATTTGAGACAGAACACTGATCGATTTTATCTATTTAATAATGTTACTGATTGCAGAACAATTAAAGCTCAATCCTTTTTTACATTTAAATACTCTTAATATGTTGTTTCTGACCATGACATTAATTTGAGACAGAACACTGATCGATTTTATCTATTTAATAATGTTACTGATTGCAGAACAATTAAAGCTCAATCCTTTTTTACATTTAAATACTCTTAATATGTTAAGATTTTTTTAATATATATGAAAATTGTAAATAATTATGCATGCACTATTTACTATTTTGATAAATGCCTAATGATTTTAACTCTTGTAAATAGCCTAGATTCTAAAGCATATCCATGTACCTCTCTCCTCCGCAGAGGCTTTAGTTTTCTTAGGATTTAATATTACGATGAGATACATTTCACTACACTTTACATGGCGGATCTTGAAATACGAGCGTAGCCGCTGGGCGAAGGAGCGCAGGCGGCAAAGGCGAAGGAAGGCGCGAAGCCTCTGCACGATTTGCATCGCAAAGTGGGACTATAGACAATCAAAGGAAATTGATTGTCTATGGTGGGACAAAGTGTAAACATCGAAACAAAAGGTGATTTTTAAGCTAAACAAGAAACGTCTTTTTGAAAATTAAATCATTATTTAATGCATGATTGATTGACCTCATTGACTAGTGCTTGCATGTTTGTGGATGGTCAAAAGTAATATTTTTTAACACAAAGCAAACAATCGTATATTTTACTCACCGCTTGGCCAAACATTCTGTATTTCGTATCGAGAAAAACTTGAATATTTCTTGAACTCTTCGGAATTCGCCACCAGTCAAAGAAGTAAAATACTCCTTGTATTTAAGCGCTTTCGTGTAGAAAATTTCTTTTGAATACGGCCAGTAGAAATATTTACGTCACACGCTGATGTTCGGGAATTAGTTCACAATCAGACCAGGAATGGAAATACCATAATAAAAGATGAAGTTTTCAAGATACAAGCTCAAAAATAACACTTTAAGTAGTGTTTTGAATTCGCTTTCGAACAAGAGTAATACAAAGAGGATGCGTTCCAAGGAGCCGAAGTTAGGCCAATGAAAATTGATATCATGTTTCTAGTCGTCCCCGCCCGCATGGGATTTATCTGCCGCACGAAAATTTTTCATTATTCATTATTTTTGAAAAATAGGCTTAACAAAACACCAAATTGATCTCCAGATCAAAGTCTTATTGCTGCAATCCGCAAGCGCAACTCAAATTGTATCTTTCTAAAGACATTACTCGCCAGAATGCCTCTAGTTTTCATGTCAGCCCTGGTATGTGTAGAAATATACTGTAGTGTAGGACGTATTAGCCCGCGTGCTAGCCTGCGAACAGGCTCTCAAGCTGAATTGAGAGCCTGCATCGATGACTAATGAATTTGAATATCTGCGTCTCAAATCGTGACGCGAAATTCTCATTGGTCAGATGCTATAATTTATCAGTAATTTATATTATTCCGCTGAGCTCTATATATGTCAAGTGCTGAACTATGCATAAAAAACGCATTATCTGATCAAATTGATCTTGGCTATCTTATCTCAAAGCACGAAATGTTTCTGTTTTGAGAAAACAGTATTTAAAACATTTGAATATTAGTAATATTTGCTTGAATATCTTGTATTTTGAAAAACAGTATAAACTGTACGGTCTAAATTTAGTTTGCACGGTCTAAATTTAGTTTGCACGAAAGTTGTAAACAACACCATATAAGGATAGACATTCCATATTTGGAAAAACGAACGTTACGGGGCAGATATTCAAATTCATTAGTCATCGATGCAGGCTCTCAATTCAGCTTGAGAGCCTGTTCGCAGGCTACCGGCGTGCAGGCCCAAGGGAGCAGGCTGAAGGGAACTTGATATCAGTTCCCTTGGGCCTGCACGCGGGCTAAGGACGTATTAAATTAAAATGAATTTTACACCGATTAACTTAAGATTTTTATGGGTTTTTTACTGGGTCAGGGAAATTATTGTCAAGCAGAATTCAAATACAAAAAATAATGAAAAATGAAAAATGAAAAAATCCCGCTCCAAATTTTTGAAAATTGTGGACGAGAAACATGATATCAATTTTCATTGGCCTTATGTTCGCCGAAAGGTATGCCTAGTTTATATTTTTATCAAGTGTAATGTCTCAATCAATTCCATGGGTGCCCAACCCCTCCCCGCGCGTTTGTCGGGCATTTGTCATTTTGGCGAAAAAACGTTGCAAATGCCCCACTATGGGGTCCAAATAATGCAACAAAATCCCCACCCTTGGGGACTTACATTGACGCAAATGCCCCACCCTTGGGGGACAAAATATAAGTTTTCTGAGGATTTCTGATCCAAAAAATCGAATGCAAGCTCTATCGCGTATCAATATATCTGTAGCCATTTCGTTTCAAAACGTTTTTAATTAAAATATTGAAGTCTCAAAATTTTATATAGCAATATCAAACTGCGGAAGTAAGTCAATGTATCAATATGATGGACAAGAAAAAAGTGTTTGTGTGTATGTCCCATCGTATGTCCGCCATGATTAATTTGCAATACGCACGCACGTGTAAACATGCGTACTAAAGTACGGCTAAATGGCGAAACAAGCGATAAATATTCGACTTTTCAGCCTCGAGCAAATTCCCCACCCCGGGGCTAACCTGCAGAAAGCAAATGCCCGACCCTGGGAACAAGTGCAGTTGAGAATGCCCGACAAACGCCCGGGGGGGTGTTGGGCAACCATGGAATTGATTGAGACATAAACATTGCGTGATTTGATATTAAAGGCAGAATACAGCACCCCACGTGACCGAGAATACCGCTGTTGATTGATTGATATGACAAGCGGCTCAGGTTACACGCATCTATTACTATGGCGGCAAACGAAGAGTATGGCTCTTTAAATTTACAAAACGAAAGAAGCTATATCGCCATGAGTTCATCGCCTGAAGACGAAACATCTGATTCAGACGAGTCTAGCGATGTAAGGCTGTATTTTTGGATGTTAATGTAAAAAAGAAAAGTATCCAAATTGCTGTAAAATTCGGTTCAATTGATAATTATGTAACACTAAACACTGTATACACATATGGTCGCTCAACCGAGGATACTTTACTGTGGCTGTAAATCGCAATGTATGCGCAAGTTAAAGACCTCTACGAATGGAAAGGTGACTGCATGTCATGGCTTTCATTGCAGAGGAATCGCGTGAACTTGTGGTACGAGGAGTAAACCATGTAAAAATATATAAAAGGTATGTACAGTATTTGAGTTGAAATATCAATAAGTTTCTCTGATTTTGAATATTTGTATTTGATTTGATTTTGATATGAGCAAGCTGCATATTTATACAGTGATGAATGCATACGCTATATCATGTATGATGCTTTAATCTTTATGAATAAACAATGTTTCAAAGGGGTCGTACCATACCAAACAAGGTCTAGAAATATTGGTACAGAATTTTTGTATGTGTGAACTCAAGTGCCTTTATATATAAATGTATCGTAACTGTTAGTTGTCTTTGTTACCTAGGAGATAATTGATGGTTTGGATAACCATGCAGATCCTTGTCAAAGTAGCAAAGGAGGGTTTTAAGTTCAGAGCATTAATAGTTTTAAAAAATTTGGTGGAGCAGCTACGGCATGATTCAGTGTAATAATTCGAGCAGTCAAATGCACCATTCTGTGTATGTGGATATTGCAGAGAGATGCCAACAGACAGAAAGAGGGTGTGCTACAAAGAAATACAAGAGTAGAACACTTGCACATTCCAAAACATTTGCTTGGACGCAGATAAATTGGCCACCTTCATAAAGTTTTGGCAGATACCTATGTGTTTACACAAACATATGACAATAGAGTGATGAGGCATGCAGCATATTGACAGTGTGTTAGTAGATACATAGCCATGCATGCCATGTGTGGAAAATTCGAAAAACATCCTTCACCTGATAGACATTATACCAGATATAGAGATATGCCTTGACCTAGAGGGTCAAGGGAGTGGGCAGTCAGGGTTTTATAGTAGAAAATTAAGCCCCGTTTACATGAGCAAATTTTTTTTGACAAATTTCATTTGATCAAATACATTTGATCAAAAGCTAGCATGCTGGCTTTTGTTCAAATGCATTTGTCACAATAAATTTGTCACAAATTTATCATCTACACGAGCAAAATATCTTTGACATATGAAATTTGTCAAATAAAATTTGCTCGTGTAAATGGGGCTTTATGGTTATTTTGTTTCTATGATATGGACAGAATTGCACAATTGTCCATTTTATCAATTATTGAATATAGCACAAATAAAATATGTACATTCACAAATAGAATTTGTATATATCTGCTCTCTTTATCCATAAATCTTTGCTTGTGGAGGCATAATTGTAGATGAAGTTTTATATAAGAATCCCAAAATATAACCCTTACTCCCACCCAGCCCATACACAACCCTCTGTGACGTCATTTGGGATCCTTATATGAAATTTCACCCATAGTTTTTTTTACACAAACCCATATAATTATATACAACACAGTAATTTCTCTGGAAGTATTTTAAAAACATCCTCAAAATTGTTTATTTGTATGTTTTGACTAATAAGCTGTAGTCATCTTCAAGAGAGATCGTTCCAGAAAGACAACTTACTTATTAGTCGAATGTACAAATAAACAATTTAAACTGTTTACTGTTTTTCAGAGCAAGTATTATGCACTGTTTTTTTTTATCAAAGTACTCAGTAGTTCTGATAATACACCCTTTCGATAATTATGCCACACATACTTTTTGGTCTTGGAGCCTCGCTTTCATTAGTAAATTATGCAAGCTGATTGGCACACGATTCATGAGATCAAGGCTCCCAGGCCAAATGACGTTATTATCAGAAGCCTGAAAAGGTTGTATATCTACTGTAATCTAAAATCTTGTGGTATGAGGTAGCAGGTAGACTGGCAATTGTTGGGGCTATTTTCATTGGATCTTGGTCAGATGTGGATGGTTTTACTTTCTTCAAAAACTCTTTGCTTGCCTCTTTCAACACATGAGCACTCAGAATGGGAATGTAGCTCAGTAATTCTTTTTCTCAACAATCACTGGTTTCCATCAGTTTTAGCTCTCTTTATACTCCAACGACGACGGCTCCATACTCCATACCGATATCCAAAGGGGGCAAATATGATATCCTAAAGGGGGTTTAAATATATCCATGGGGTAACTTCAAAAAATTGCACCGAAGGGGCCCTAAATCTTTATATCCGAAGGGGATTATGACTTTTTGAGATTTATATCATTCATAAATTTAAAACACATAGGCGAGTATTAAAAAGGCATACGTATGAGAGAAAAGTATAAATACCTGAATTAAAAAGTTGTGTTTTTAATTGCCTTCGAGTTGATGTAAAATTGTTGCTTGATGATGGCTTACTCGACTTGTCATTGGAGTTGATAAATTTCGCGTACATCCATCCACAGGTCATAGACATCATTGTATTCATTGTGCAAGGAAATGGTCTTCCAAATCGCACTTCGTACGTACGTTCTCGTAGCCTTCCTCATGCTTGCGTTTCCTCCCAGAACCACGTCTTTTCCCACCGTGCGTACCACTTTCAGGCGATTGAAAAGATGGGCCAGGCTCAGTAGGACAACGAAAGTTATCGTCACTGTCAGTTTTAGAGCTTTCCATAGCATTGAACGCGTGTAAAAATGTGAAATTCGGCCAGCCGCGCCATGTGTCAAATATACCGCTCGATGCTTCATCTGAATAGACGGGTATCAAATTACACTTCGCATACATAATAATTGTGATAATTCGTAACATCCGGAGATCAATTTATTAGCCTTGATTTCGCACAAATATATATCATTATATAACTGATTTTAAACTCGTAAAACTTTCTTTACCCCTTAGTACTGTAGACTATATACGACGCCATTTTGATTTTTAAAACTTGATTTACAACATTAAGTTTTTCAAGTTTTTGAACGCAATGCGCATGCGCGAATTTGGGCGCACTCTGCCTTTAAGAAAAGCGAGCGAAATCACGAGCCGAAGGCGAGTGATTTTGCCCGCTTTTCTTAACTCGAGCAACATTCCCAAGTGTTTTATAAAATAACAACAACACGATAGTCGAGCAACATTCCCAAGTGTTTTATAAAATAACAACAACACGATAGTCTTCCGTGTTTGGATGGCCTGATCCAAACACGGCTTTTGACCAATCAGAACACGCGTTATATACATGTTATTTTATAATATCATATGACACGCAATTTTAATTCCACGGCAAAACTGCTGTTTATTCAAGTGTTATTCATGAATTCGCTATTTACATGGGAAGCGACGAGAGTGACACGGTATTTTTCAAGTATACCGTGAAACTCCACTGACAAAATGAGCCCGCACAAGTGGGAGAAAATTTGCGCATTCTGACCATCGTGGTATGGGGGTAGCAAATCTTCGAGTTAAGCCCCTCGAGTTAAGCCCTTCGAGTTAAGCCCCGATCACGCCCTTTCGAGTTAAGCCCCGACCACGCCCATGCCACACCCATTTCCGTTGAGGGCTTAACTCGAAGTACATAACTGGAGTTAGGTACTTCAAGTTAAGCCCTCTAGAAAATAGGGGCTTAACTCGAGCAAAGTCAAACATTTTGTTCTTCGAGTTAAGCCCCAACGTTTGAAAGATGTAAACGAGTTACGGTTAATCTGATCCCAAACAAATTAAATTATCATTTGGATCGCGTTTCGTTCAATCACGGTTCAATACGTTTTATTTCAGCCGACGTATTATATATATTAGGGACTTTAAGATTCACGTTTACGGCAAACCGCTAACCGGCAAACTTCAAATCGTAATTTGAAGTCAACTGTTAGCTGTTCGAAGTTAGAGCAACTTGTGCATAAAAATTAACAATTATAACTACATCAGTAGTTATAATTATAAGTATTGTTTTATGCTAATTTTTTGCATTTTCAAAAACAGTAGTTCAACGTTCAAACATCAATAGCGCAGACTGCGCAGTCAATATTGCATTAACTTCAAGTGCTATATATCAAAATCGAAGTTAGTCATTTCTGAATGCATTATCGCTTTTATAGCTTTTACGTTACATGAAATCAAATAGTTTCCAGTTTTGTTGGGGGACACCCGGTATTTTAAGGTAGATTTGCATTTCGCAACTTGTGGGGCGATCGACATTTTGCGACCATTTTTGTTTTGAAATGTGTGCAGTCTAATGAAATCGTTCTATATAATGAAGACTTGAATGGTTGTGAAAGTGCATATTTCCACCGTTGAGAATTGGGTCTAAAACTATTGAAAATTAACTCCCTTTACTCTTTAGGACTTAAGTTGATGAATTGAACTTCAATAAAATACCTGCGTATGCATAATTATCATAAACGTCTTGTAAACCAGCCCTGAGCTCATTTTTAAAATGACACGTTCGTGATTATAAATTGCTAATCAAAATCTAAGTTAGCCATTATGAATGCAATGATCTTTATTTCATTGCGAATCTGCGATAGCTTTTATAGCTTTTACGTTACATGAAATCAAACAGAGTCCGGTGTTTTTTGGGATACCAGTATACAATTTGATAATATTTTAAGATTGACCTTTACGGCAGAAAAGGTCGATCTTTATTCCTTTATTAGCTAAAAGTAGCTAAATCATAGTCCAATTTTTATGCACAAGTTGCTCCAACTTCGAACAGCTAACAGTTGACTTCAAATTACGATTTGAAGTTTGCCGGTTAGCGGTTTGCCGTAAACGTCAATCTTAAAGTCAATAATATATAAAACGTCGGCTGAAATAAAACGTATTGAACCGTGAATGAACGAAACGAGATCCAAATGATAATTTAATTTGTTTGGGATCAGACTAACCGTAACTCGTTTACATCTTTCAAACGTTGGGGCTTAACTCGAAGAACAAAATGTTTGACTTTGCTCGAGTTAAGCCCCTATTTTCTACAGGGCTTAACTCGAAGTACCTAACTCCAGTTATGTACTTCGAGTTAAGCCCTCAGCGGAAATGGGTGTGGCATGGGCGTGGTCGGGGCTTAACTCGAAAGGGCGTGGTCGGGGCTTAACTCGAAGATTTGCTACCCCCGTGGTATGTCTTCTTATTACTTAACAAGACGCCTGCTCAGGCGTTCACACTGGCCTGAAAATAACGTTAAGCCCGTTCACATGCACTCTCATTCTTAAATTGTGTGCACGGAATACGAGTAAATAGCCAACATGAAAATGAAGCCATTGGGTCAAAAGTGGATTTTAGAGAGGTTAAGATACCCCGGTTTCGTGTACGGGTAGCATGATTTTAGTTAGCAATATTTTCGTCGATGTCTGTACCTTTACTCGTAATTAAGGTGCACATTTTTCGCATTATATCATTGTCTATTGCAAGAAAGCAGAAAAAGTGTGATTGAATTACAGACATCAGTAAAACAAGATGACACTACTCGTACCCGTACACCGAAACCGAGGTATCTTAACCTCTCTATTAATTAAGGTCTATTAACCTATTAGCTGCCAATGCACACTACTTTAGTATTAACTCTGGCTAACGCCAGACCAATTTACACTGTGTAACGCCAGACGATTTGTGCACCCTGCTTTAGTATTAAAGAGTAATTCTTCAGAATTTGCTCAGAGTCAATGTCAGTAAAATACATCTTGTATTCAAGCGCTTTCATCTACAAAGTTTCGTTTGAATACGGCACAGAGTAGGAATATTTATTTTGAATTTTTCAAAATATCGGGTTTTTACTCACACGCACGCGCCACGTTTATAGCTCGATCGATGCACGTGCAAATCATGCCGACCTACAGAATCGATTTCCGGTTTTTCCTAAATTAAACAGCGCGTTGTTTTGATGTGCGTTCCATTGGCCGCGCTAAAAATATAAATATTCTGTAAATTTAAATACCGAAATAAAAGATGAAAATCTCAAGATACAAGCTTGAAAATAACACTATATAAATAGTGTTTTAGATTCTGGTTCCAATAATATTATTACGAAAAAGATATGTCCAAAGGGGCCGAAGTTATGTTCGGCAAAATGTATGGCTAGTTTACATTGTTTGTTATATTATGAAATATGGTACCATACTTGTATTAAAATTCGCGTCGAACTAATGTTATTGTATTAGGCAAATGAGTAGACTTGCCACAAGTCGACCTCGAACGAAATGCGTTTCTTCGAGGTCGACTTGTGGCAAGTCTAGCAAATGAGAACCATACAATAATGGTTCTAGTTCTTGTTGGTATTTTGAACGCACGCTTTATCTTTGCTATAGCTACCACAAAGCTTTTCGCGCAGATTATATTTCGCGTAGACTTGCCACAAGTCGACCTCCGAAACGCAAGCACGCGCAGTACTAAAATTTCCGCACCCAGCGGCCAGCACTGCGCGAATTCTCTTAATTCTAGTACGGCGCGGATTTTAATACATGATTTAAAGGTATATTGTCGACATTTGACTAAAACTATCGTAAGGAATTAGGAGAGTTTGTCCTTAATTGTTTATATTCCAATATATTGTATGAATTCGCTGGGTACAAATTTATGAAATTTTGGGGTTTTCGAGTCGTTTAATTTAATACAAAAAGAAAGACATTAACTGGCAACAGGCAAGAAAGTTCAGAGTGGGACGCAAAAATTAACACAAGTACACAACGGATGTTATGAGTCAACGACGTATATTTAAGTCAAACTGTCAAACCTTTAACTTGTCCTTGTTTAAATATCCTTCTATATATCGTATAAATTCGCTGGGTCCAAATCTTTGTGGTTTTCGAGTCGTTACACAAAGAAAAACACATTAATTCAACACGCAAGAAAGTCCAGAGTACGACACAACGTAAAATCCATAGGAAACCGGCACAATTCTTTGAAAATTCAACGAAACTGTGTAAAATATAGTTTGATCACTCTGTGAAAAGCCGCCATTGGGGTTCGGAATTGTGCGCGTGCGTACAAGTGTATGGGCTAATAAACGAAAAATGTACCACAAGCATGGCACGAGTCGGCTATTACGTACATAAATACGAGCTTATTACTATACTATATAAATCACGGAACCGAGGGAATCGATGGCATTTTGGCTTAATCGTTGCACCCTGAGCCTGCGATGAGCTAACGCAAACTCGATTTCTCAACTGCGAAAAAAACAGGAAAACACAGGAAAAAACAGAAAAAGAGGGATTTAAGACACTTGGCCTACAGGCCAGTGTAATTACTATTAAAGTTAACCAGCATGGCAGGCTTTCTGGGTTTGGAGGAGGGTTTGGGGAGTTAAAGTTTACCAGGCTAGCCACATGTACGCATTGCGTACCTATTTTTGTTACATTTAATCAAACAGCACAAGTTGTTTTTTTTTTGGAGGGGGGGGAGGGGCACAGTCTTTCTTTAGGTTGTAAAGCGATGATTGGGCTAAGAAAATTTATACGTCATTGCTGTTGAAATGACTTAATTCATCACTAATAATACGAAAGCTTATGTTGCTCATAATATACCATCCAGCGTCTATTTTTGAGAAAATTGTTGCACAAACCATGTTCCAATGTTTGCGATGTGACCATTGCATATGGCTGTCAAAAACGTCCAGATTAGTTTAGTAGATTATTGTTTTCTAAAACATTGCGCGGCTCGTGGTTTTAGAACTCGTTTTATGCTTTTAGAACTCGTTTTATGCTTTAACCCATTGAGTGGTTCCACTTGACAAGTAAAATCCTGTGGCGTTAGACAGTAAAATACTAAAGTAGGGTGCATCTGGGTGCAATGCAACTTAAAGGGTTAAATTAACCAAAAAAAGTTCATACATTTGTTTGAAAAAAAGATTTTAACACAGTACCATGCCTGTTTGTATTTTGAAGTTCCTTGAGTTAAACATGATACTGCATAAAACCCTAGTAGGGAACCACCTCCAGACCAATTTACACTCACCTGCGACAAAATAGGGAGGTTGTGTGCTTGATTTGCACAGTGCAACTCAAGTTGTAAGCATTTTGCATGGGACCATCTGATGCACAAGACTTTCCTCTTGATGAGTAAAATGATCTGATATCAGACATTTGAGTTCCTTTGCAGCTTAAGGAGTTAATCCTATTTATCTTAGAGAACAGCAATTCAACTATCTGGCTGGCTTGACAAATAACTATACACCAACAATGTGTGCAAAGGCAATTAAGTGTATCCTTGGAAAATTTTATCTGAGATTATGCAGAGGAGTTTACAACTTTTTTGTTCAAGCCTAGTGACTTATTTCAGTGCATGAAAATCATCCCACCTTTCATCCTGTCCTGACAAACTGGGATCATGTAAACAGCACATTTAGCCATTAAGTTGATTTGCACTCTAATTTTCCTACTTATATTATTTAACCCTGTCTAACGTCATACAATTTTATTAAGCAGGGGGTGCACTGGCAGTTAATTAATGGGTAACTAGACACATGGGCAGTCTCATTATGAAGCATAAAATCGTCTAGCGTTGGACAGTAAAATACTCAAGTAGAGCATGCATCAGGGCACAGTACAACCTAATGGTTAAATTTGTTTTTTGTAGCAAAATGGTTTAAGTTTGATATCTGAATTTTTTTTATTTTTTTTTTTGCTTTGTTTTACAGATCATTACTTGAACGATCTGATGAAATATTGATTTATAAAATATCATGTTATCAAGATGACATGCCTCGAAGAGCAATACATGAGGGAATACCTCTATTTCTAATCAAATTACAACAATACACCAAAGACAGTAGTTCTCGGATGAAATGAAAGGATTGATAAATGTTCATGGCCAGCAGCGGATATTTGTGACTATAATAAATGGATACAAAGAAACTATGATGGATAAATATGGCCCCGTAATGGATATTCAGTTGATGGACATACAAAGGTCACAGAAATGTCTATTTTCAGGTACTGTTTTTTTGTTTTTATTAGCTTCGCCAACTAGGGCAGGGTCACCACATCTTGTTTGCCTGCATCTTGTTTGCCTGCGAACAGGCTGTAGACACTTGTATCCAGGCCATTGTTTGTTTGTTTTTTGTTCTGGGTACAATGAAATCCGGCATAAATCCTGGCGGTCTAAATGTTCAGTATATTTACAAATTCGATCTATTTTCTGTTCAGTAGACTTTGATAGCTTGAAAGAAAGTTTATAACGATGATTTTCTCTGCAAAAACTGTACTTTCGAAATTCGTCAGCTTCTGAATTTGATAACCGATCTGAAAAAAAAAGGGAACATTTGAGTGTATGGTTATTGCATGGTTCTATATATATTCTATATATACTGCCTTTGTGCACACGCATAACAAGTGCAGCAACGCAACAGTTTAGACAGGGTCATGAGGCAGGATGTGTACAAGAAAAGCTTTGCCAGAGTTTTGTCTTTCGAAATAGAACGACGATTGGAAATTGCTGTTTGATTCTTTGTAATATCTTGTCGCTTGTTAGTGAAAAAGAAATTTGTCACTTTCCTCATCTAAGGCCCTGTTTACATGAGACCGGAACGAAGTCAAACCGGGACCATTTCGTTTCGGTCACAGTATTATTTATAATAGATGTTTAAATGAGACCGGGACGAAAATAACTCAGACCGGTCTCAAGTCATTCCGCCTGCTGAACCGAACCGACTGACTTCAGACCGGCATGAATTCAGACGGGGATGAATGTAAACAGAAATACATTTCAGACCGGTCTCGGCTGTAACCTTGACATTGGAACAACACATGCTAACAAAGCCATCTGAAAAAGAAAATTGCCCTGGCAAGGGGAGAAAATTTTGTGATTTTCGTACCGGTCTCATGTAAAGATATTGACAATTTCAATTTTCGTCCCGGTCTCATGTAAACGGGGCCTAAACCTTTTTTTTTCAAAAAACTGGCATCGTTTGTCTTGGGGTTAGGGGGTACAAATGGTACCCATAGCTTAGAGGGTGCAAATGGTACCCGTAAGAAGACTTGGTGGAAATCATGTTGGTCGTTTGGATCGGCGAGAATAAGACAATTATGGTGGCAAAGTTTTTTTAAACATTTTCTCTCCCGTAGTAAGGTAAAGCATGTATTTTCTTGGTAGCCGGTCTTCATGAAAAAATAGTCCGCTACCAGTGACTAGGTCCCCTCTCTTATGGCGGTTATTCCGGCTCAATATCTTGCATGCGGATAATATGGTCCGTCGCGTGCGCAAAATAGTTAGGGAGTTAGACAGTTTAGCAGCGTCCAAACTGCGCAATATACGACACTCACATGAAACGTAAAATACTTTATAATAATTCACAAAATTGCGAAAACAAAAAATTGACAATTTTGCAATTTGAATTGTGCGTTTCTGGCAAATGCCTTTAGATTCAAGTTGTAACGACAATTTACAAGCGCATTAAGTGTAAATACGGCATTATTTCTAATGAAAAGACCGCCAGGGTTAGAGTGTTTTTATGTGGTTTGTTAAGGAGCAAACTCGCTTTTTAAAAAAAGAAATGTGTATTAATTTCGATCCAGATTTGTTCCTGAACATGGTCGCCATGAAAACACTCTGTAGAGCAAGCTCAGCGACGTACGGTCATAATAGCGTCGTCGGAAGTTTGCATTCAGCATTTTCGTTCAAAATTGAACGTACATTATGCTATGCTAGGGTTGCGTACAATCGGTACCCACACGATGTGTAGCAATTCTAAAGGAATAACTAATACGTATAAATAGGGTGTGCGCACGAAGTTTTTTTCGCAGGCCTTAATAACTTCGGGGAAAATAATAAAAAAAGCAGTGTCCGTGGTCGGGGCTGAATAGTACTGTGGAAGATTGGGTTGGAAAATTTGCAATTAAGATCTGTATTTTTGGGCAATTGTTACTTTTTGAAAAATAGTATCATTCTGATGTAAAATAACATCGGAAGGGTTTGCCAACAATGATGTCCAAAGAGCCCTAAAGTTTATTTCATAAAATGATTTATCTTTGTATATACTCAATTACAAGACAATTTAAAGTTCGAGTAAAAGTTTAATAACAATTGATATAAATTGAAACTCATTCTGGCTCAAATTTTATTTCATATAATGATTTTTCTCAGAATACTCTCGATTACATGACAATTCAAAAAGAATATTTAAAGTCAAAATATTAATCATAATTCAAATTCAAAATGACCTTTGGGTCACATTTTATGCCTACTCATATGGTTGTGTCCACAGAAGCCTGAGGTATTATATTAGATACGAAATACAACGTTTCTAGAAAAACAACCTTATCAAAAATCAGTTAAATATACTCGCCTTTTAAGCAAAAGCGAAAAGATTATTTTTGCCACAATTTTACGGTAAACCCAAACGTGGTGACGGAATTTCCCAGCATTTATATGTGCTGAAATTGAACTAAATCGAGAAATTTAACCAAAGTATAATTTTGCCACTCACCGGGTTCGAGTATCTTTTGTGACAATATGGATACTACCATGAAGATTAGATGTTTGATTAGTACTAAGTAAGTGTTTTCGTCAAAAACACTACTGAAATCATGGCTTTGACAGGGTTGACTAAGTTAGCCTAAAAACCCAATAATTTCCCATTCCATGTTTGTAATATGCATTCAATATGATAGATACGGCAGGCCTTCTACTCTTTCTTCTACTCGATAAATTGGAACAGAATGGCTGAAATTGGGTATACTAAAAGACTTTAATGAAATAAAATTTGGGGTTAATGCATATGTCGTTTTTCGTCGTGCGTAACGTCAGTTGTGTGTAACTTTTATGAAAAAAATCAAAGTCTTGAGATTTTGTTTTTCAACAAGTAATAATGGTCTAGAAATACAGATTTATATTGCACATGTTAGTTTCTTCAGTAAGGTCTCTAAACATTGGCACAACTGCTTGTTCCCCATGCATAAATTTTTAACTAGTTTTTGGGATTGGATTTATTCAAATTTGAGGTGATTTTGAACACATATTGGTATGTTACTCATTATGATATGAGTAAAATATTGTTCGTTTATACATTGTTCTAGTTTCTATAGCTTTTTATTTGTCTTATCAGTTGAAATATATGTTGTGATTGTTTACGAAATATATTGAATTATTTGTGAATGGTTCGTTCATTTTATGCATGATGAAACCCGAAATTTATAGTTTGATGGTCACAACAAATTTG